ACATACCGTAACGTATTTAATGCACTGATCTTTTTAACCCCAACCCCCACTTAACTCTCTAACTTTCAGCTCCTCCCGTAAATGTCCATTACTGACAATACTTATAACTTTACATTTTAACATATTAGTATACCTAAAATATATTTATATATTTGTGTTTTTAGCGAATCTTATGTAAATACAATAATTAAGCAAGCATTTGGTGCTGCCAATTCTAGATCCAATTTTTGCGTGAACTGAATTTCGAAAAATCTTTAAAAAATAATTATTGCTTCTCTAAAATTAATGCGAAGATATGGGTGGTTTTACAGAATGTTAATTACAGATTTATCAAAAGACTCTCTCTCTCTCTCTCTCTCTCTCTCTCTCTCTCTCTCTCTCTCTCTCTCTCTCTCTCTCTCTCTCTCTCTCTCTCTCTCTCTCTCTCTCTCTCTCTCTCTCTCTCTCTCTCTCTCTCTCCGTGGTAGAAAGATAGTCAGAGATATCAAAAATACAGGTTAATGCAATGCAGCGATGCATTTTATCAGTCCATCATAAGTTGCAGATTTGTTTGCGCAATTGTTACCTCGAACAATGTAATGATTATGGAATTTTCATAATGTGCCTTATACGGTTACACAGGCGGAAATGTAACACCAGCTGTATAGTGCATGAGATTGATAAATAAGCTAAAATTACATTTGCACCTGAATGTCACATTAAATATGTATTGCTCACATCAAAGTTTCTTTGAGTCGGACTAGCAGGTTGACTGTTCAATACTCCAAGCAGGGAGAAATATGTTCAATCTCTAAAACATCTTTTTTAATGATTAACAAAGGTGAAAAAGACATCATGCGCATATAAGCGTAATAATGTAGGATAAAGCGCTCTGATACAAGAGGTTGTTTAAAAAAGCAAATAGAGTGCCATGATGCATTTTTTCAGAAAACAATAGAAAATTGTTGATATTTTTGTTCATAGATCAAGTGAACATATTCTAAGTGCTGTTTTGGAGAACACTGGAAGTTTTGTATTGGGAAATAAGAGAACTAAGAGAAATAGCAATAGTAACCGCTTACTCAAATATTCACATCTACCCTCCTCTCCTACCATCCACCATGTCAAAAGATAATCCAAAATTATAGTTTGCTTTTTAACTTTAACTCCATTTGCTGCACTTGAGTATTACGTTTGAGAATTACCCTAACATAACAAATGCATAATCGGTGTTTGGATGTGTTTTCATTGAAGAAAATGGATTACATTTAACCAGCTAGAAAAATCAACGGAAATATGTCTGATTCAATAAAGTTTCTTACTCACAGAATTTTGCATTTTTATTCTTGTTGTTCCATCTGACTTTTCATAATCGCCTGATTTTATTCATTCTTAATTTTTAATTGAAGTTCACAAATCCGATCAATTCTTTATTTTATACAAACTTTAAACTTCATATCAGTTATCATTCTATGAAAGAAGTTCGCTGGTATTATTTTGTGCTGAAGACCTCAACATTGGACCTGTCTTTATTATAAGTGAACGAATATTTTTAGGGTGAATAGTAACTTTAAGCAATGACTTTACTATTTTTTCTAACAACCCTTTATTGTGAAGCGGTGCATAGATTTGTTTTATCTGCCTGTCTTTATATCCAGCTCTTACCTTTTATTTTATTGCACCTATTAAATCATGACTTGAAGTATGGTTGCATCCTGGGATATCGTGAAATCTGCCATACTGAATAAAAATCCATACTTTTCAAATGAGAAACGTTTGTTATAAATCAGGACACTTGAGTAATCTTAATTGTGAAAATAAGTAGTATACATATTGAGAAGTCTGGTCCGCCAACAGTTTGAGAAGTACCATATCGTATTAGAGACGCGCGCGCGCGCGTGTGTTTGTGTGAGTGTGTGTGTGATTTTGATTTTTAATGAAGCTTTAACAATTCTTTAGTCGTATCGCTAGGATGTGTGCAATTTGACAGTTATAGCAATGTCTAACACTGGAGCATCATGCCGCAGATATACATAATAATAGCCCACCCAGTCACATTATCCTGACATTAGGCCGACCAGTCCTAACACTAACTTTTTAATGCTGAGCGCCAAGCGAAGCAGCTGTTAGTGTCATTTTTATAAATATTTGGTATGACTTGGCCGGGGTTAGAAACCGCCATCTCCTGCCGGCGGACGTTTTAACCACTAGGCTACCTGAGTGTGTGTGTGTGTGTGTGTGTGTGTGTGTGTGTGTGTGTGTGTGTGTGAATTAGATTTTTAACGTAGCTTTAAAAAAATTTCAGCTGATCGCTACAATGTCTGCAGTGTTCACAGTTTGCAGTTATGTCTATCACTAGGGGCATCATGCTGCAGACATGTGGCATGATGTCCCGCCCAGTCACATTATCCTGACACCAGGTCGACCAGCCCTAACATTGACCTCTTAATGCTGAGCGCCAAGCAAGGCAGCTGTTAGTACTATTTTTTAAAAGTCTTTGGTATGACTAGGTTGAGAGCGATCATACCGGGGATAATGCGCAATAATAGCCAACATTACAAAAGTCACAAAACCACACAAACTTGACGTTATTTTTTATAAATTAAAACTTAATAGCAGTTAGTCTTGGAAGTTTTAGAACTGGATATATATATATATATATATATATATATATATATATATATATATATATATATATATATATATATATATATATATATATATATATATATATATATATATATATATATATGTGTGTGTGTGTGTGTGTGTGTGTTTGTGTATGTATATGTATATTCAAGTTAGTTTTAACAATGCCTTTTTTGTAAATTCAGCGAGCAAAATAGTCAATGCAAATGTATTTGTTGGTATTTTCAGTACGCTATTTTTAGTTACTTTTATTGCTGACAGATTTTTGTACCTTCAGTACAACACATGCATATTTACCTACACCCTGAACATAGTCTATAAAACCGGATATGCTTTATATATGTATAATTGATATCTTGACATCAAGAGATTCATTGACAAAATGTATTTTTATAATGTTCTTTTATTTTCTCCTCTCTTTTCTATATACGTTCATTCTCCTGAGTCCTAACTCATCAAAGTATTTTTATAATTCTGTTTTATTTCCTCCTCTATTTTCTTGCAAAACTCCTTTTCTTCCTTTGTCGTGGCGCATGTGTGAATTCACATGTACTTTATGTTGTATTTCCTCAAGTTACCACTAGTTCTTGTTTCTATTATTGCTCCATTCTCTGTATTGTTTGCCAATGCATTTTTCTCATCGTTTTCCTTTCTCTTTCCATCTTCTACCTGCTGTGGCTGTGCCTTTTGGTGGCAATTCTTTTCGGACTCAGTGCTTATTTCCTCATTATAGATGCTTCTGTCTTTTTTCCTATTTCTACCTGTTTCTGTATTACTTCTATTATGATAGGATTTTTATCATAATCTTCTTCTCATTTCCTGCTATGAGAAGGAATTAGCCATGTCTTAGGAACGGGCTTGGTCCATGGTTAGAGATAGAGAAGGACAAAAAGGTGTAGCGCATAATGGGGTAGATACGGCTACATTCTTTGGGGACGCTCTGGCATGTGTAGGTACACGGGATTTCTGTAAAGACAAAAGAGGAATCATTTCTAGTCTTGAAGCAGCGGAACTTTTATTTATATAATTGATATAGAAGATATACGGTACTACATTCCAAAGACACTAAAGCCTTTACATTGAAAAATACACAAAATGCATATAATACTTTTCCTTTTAAGCTTACAAACTTCATATATTTGTACTTTTTCGCATTTTAGAATATAGTACAGATAATAGATCTGGACTAAATTAAAGATTATAAAATAGTTGCGATAAATGCAACAATCATTTTGAAGAAATATATTTTACTCAATTTAAGATAAAATCCTAATTTGGAATAAATTACTAAACACTATTCTTTATTCCTTAACGGATATTTAAATTTCCAAATTAAATCTAAATATAAAGTAGGTAGCCAATTTAAACTTTTACTATTTTCATAAAAACAAAATATAAATTCTTAAAAACAATTAAATATTTAATTATATTATAATATTAGAATAAAAAGAGAACTCACAAGAACAATGCAACTAGGAAGGTTACAATCATAAATCTTTAACTTCTAAAGTACTAATTCTTTAAAAAATTTTAGAACATGATTCTTACCTTTAAAAACACAAGAGGAATCTTATCTTGTCTTGAAGCAGCGGAAATGAGATGCCAGAGCTTTGAGCTGTTATTTATACTTAGTTCAAGACACCTCTAAACCTTTATTGGTAAGGTCTTGAGTTTTGAGGGTGCATATGTTCTTTTTTGTCACATTCAGTCTCATTATCATGGCCAATCCAGGTTAGTCGGTCATACAGTAGGTTAAAATAAACTTTTGCCACAAAGTGTTAGCCTGCGATTTCGGCTTCTACATGTATAATACAGGGAAGATTGTACTTGTTATAGAGTCGGCTTGTAGATGTAAAAAGTCAGATTTTTCAGTTTGTAAAGGTTATTTGCTGAGTTAGTAAAGATGAGATCTGTGCTTATTGCAAGGAAACTACCCTTTATCAAAATAGAATATAGCTCTCATAAATAGGTTAATATGAATATAATTTAATAGAGATTACTCCCAATATAATTTAATGAGAATTTAATCCAATGAAACTTTAGTTTTAATACAATTGAGAGGAAATTCCAATGTTATTATTTGTTCTTAAAATTTCTGTCATAACACTTCTTCCACTTGGTTTGTTTTCGCATTTCTATATGTTACTTCGAGGAAAATTGTCAGTGTGGCCCTTTTATGTTTCCTGCGTGGGCTGAGTGTTGTATATTTTAGCCTGCTTCATGTGTTATTTCTTGGATCTTAAAATGTCTTCTGTCATGTCTTTCAAACCAGCAATTTTTGTATTTCCTATCTTATAAAACAACTTCGACACCCCGATCATGCTAGGAAACCGTGCATATAGCCTTAACCTTATCTCTCTTTTTCTCATACCTCTCCGGTGGCCTAGTGGTTAGAGCGTCCGCTTTTGATGCGGGAAGTCGCGGGTTTGAACCTCGGTCAAGTGATACCAAAGACTTTTAAAAATTGGTACTAATAGCTGCCTCGCTTGGCGCTCAGCATTAAGAGGTTAGTGTTAGGACTGGTTGGCCTGGTGTCAGGATAATGTGACTGGGTGGGACATCATGCCACATGTCTGCGGCATATGATGCCCTAGTACTAGATATCATTATAAACTGTCACATTGCAGAGAACGTAGCGATATGACTGAAAAATTGTTAAAGCTACGTTAAAAATCTAAATCACACACCATACACACACTAAATCACATACACTCTCTTTCTCTCTATTTTGATGCCTGGTTGTTTCGTTGGGTATTCTCGATATGTTGTTACTTTTGCATTTCTAATTTAAATATCAAACTTCATTATGAATCTACATGTTGTTGCTTCGAGAGGGATTTCTAATGTTATTCTTGCTATATAAACTTCCACACTCTTTGGCATGAGTTAGTATCTAAATGGTAGTGGGTCTATTATTGTTCTGGTGTTTTCCAAGATTGTTATTGGTCCTTTTTCTAGGATGGACTCTTCTTCTATTGGGTGCAGGACAAAAATTCACTTTCCCCGTTCTGCTTATACTTGCTGTCTTATCATAAGGTTCTAATGCTTATGGTGGCCTAGTGGTTAGAGCATCTGACAAGGATGCGGGAGGTCGTGGGTTCTATACCCGGTCGAGTCATACCAAAGACTTACAAAAATGGTACTAACAGTTTGCCGCTCAGCATTAAGAGGTTAGTGTTAGGACTGGTCGACCGGGTGTCAGGATAATGAGACTGGGTGGGACATCATACTACATGTCTGCGACATGATGTCCAGGTCCTAGAGATCACTACAAACTGCCACATCGTAGCAGTATGACTTAAAAATTGTTCAAGCTACGTTAAAAATCATAATCACATCACATTCTCATGCTTATGCCTGCCGTATTCTCATAAGGTACTCATGCCTATACCTCCTGTATTATCATAAGGTACTCATGCTTAAGCCTGCTGCCTTATCATACAGTACTCATGCTTATACTTGTTGTATTATCATAAGGAAATCATGCCTATGCCTCCCGTCTTATCGTAAGGTAATCATGCTTATATCTGCTGCCTTATCATCCAGTACTCATGCTTATACTTGCTGTATTATCATACAGTACTCGAGCTTATGTCTGCCGTTTTATCGTAAGGTACTCTCATGCTTAAGCCTGCTGTCTTATTATAAGGTAATCATGCTTATGCCTGCTGTCTGATCATAAAGCATTTATGCTTATGTCTGCCGTCTTATCGTAAGGTACTCGTTCTTATGCATGCTGTCTTATCATAAGGTACTCATGCTTATGTCTGCAACTTATCAAAAGGTACTCGTGCTTATGACTGCCGTCTTATTGTAAGGTCCTCATGCTTATACCTGCCGTCTTATCATAAGGTACTCATGATTATACTTGCTGTCTTATCATAAGGTACTCATGCTTATGCCTGCCGTCTTATCATAAGGTACTCATGCTTATGACTGGCGTCTTATCGTAAGGTAACCATGCTTATGCATGCTGTCTTATCATAAAGTACTCATGCTTATCCCTGGCGTATTATCGTAAGGTACCAATGCTTATGCCTGCCGTCGTATCATAAAGTACACATCCCTATGCCTGCTGTCTTATCATAAGGTACTCATGCTTATGCCTGCTGTCTTAACAAAAAGTACTCGTGCTTATGACTGCCGTATTATCGAAAGGTACTCGTCCTTATGACTGCCGTCTTATCGTAAAGCACTCATGTTAATGACTCCCGCCTTATCATCAGGTACTCATGCTTATGCCTGCCGTCTTATCGTAAAGTACTCATGCGTATGCCTGCTGTCTTATCTTAAGGCACTCATGCTTATGCCTGCCTTCTTATCGTAAGGTACTCATATTCATGCCTGCTGTTTTAACATAAAGTACTCATGCTTATGCCTGCCATCTAATCGTAAGGTACTCATGCTTATGCTTGATGTCTTATCGTAAGGTACTCATATTCATGCCTGCTGTTTTATCATAAAGTACTCATGCTTATGCCTGCCGTCTAATTGTAAGGTACTCATGCTTATGCATGATGTCTTATCAAAAGTACACAAGCTTATGACTGCCGTCTTATCATAAGGTACTCGTGCCTATTCCTGCCATCTTTTCGTAAGGTACTAATGCTTATGCCTGCTGCCTATCATAAAGTACTTATGCTTATACTTGCTGTCTTATCATAAGGTAATCATTATGCCTGCCGTCTTATCATAAAGTACTCATGCTTATGCCTGCCTTCTAATCGTAAGGTACTCATGCTTATGCCAACCGTTTTATCATAAAGTAATCATGCTTATGCCTGCAGTCTTATCGTATGGTACTAATGCTTATGCCTGCTGCCTATCATAAAGTACTTATGCTTATACTTGCTGTCTTATCATAAGGTAATCATTATGCCTGCCGCCTTATCATAAAGTACTCATGCTTATGCCTGTCGTCTTAACGTAAGGTAATCATGCATATCGCTGCTGTCTTATAAGGTACTCGTGCTTATGACTGCCGTCTTATCGTAAAGTACTTGTGCTTATTCCTGCCGTCTTATCCTAAGGTACTCATGCTTATGCATGCCGTCGTATCACAAATTACTCATGCTTATGCCTGATGACTATCATAAAGTACTCATGTTTATACTTGCTGCCTTATCATAAGATATTCATGCTTATGCCTGCCGTCTTGTCATAAGGTACTCATGCTTATGACTGCCGTCTTATCATGAAGTACTGATGCTTATGACTGCTGTTTTATCGTAAAGTCCTCATGCTTATTCCAGCCTTATTATCGTAAGGTACTCATGCTTATGCTTGGCGTCTTACCAAAAAGTACACATCCTTATACCTGCTGTCTTATCATAAAGCACTCATGCTTATGCCTGCAACTTATCAAAAGGTACTCGTGCTTATGACTGCCGTCTTATCGTAAGGTCCTCATGCTTATGCCTGCCGTCTTATCACACGGTTCTCATGCTTATGCTTTTCGTCTTATCAGAAGCTACTCGTGCTTATGCCTGCCGTCTTATCAGAAGCTACTCGTGCTTATGACTGCCGTCTTATCAGAAAGTACTCGTGCTTATGACTGCCGTGTTATCATAAGGTCCTCGTGCTTATGCCTGCCGTCTGATCGTAAGGTCCTCGTGCTTATGCCTGCCGTCTGATCGTAAGGTCCTCGTGCTTATGCCTGCCGTCTGATCGTAAGGTCCTCGTGCTTATGCCTGCCGTCTGATCATAAGGTCCTCATGCTTATGCCTGCCGTCTGATCATAAGGTCCTCATGCTTATGCCTGCCGTCTGATCATAAGGTCCTCATGCTTATGCCTGCCGTCTGATCATAAGGTCCTCATGCTTATGCCTGCCGTCTGATCATAAGGTCCTCATGCTTATGCCTGCCGTCTTATCATAAGGTCCTCATGCTTATGCCTGCCGTCTTATCATAAGGTCCTCATGCTAATGCCTGCCGTCTTATCATAAGGTCCTCATGCTTATGCCTGCCGTCTTATCATAAGGTCCTCATGCTTATGCCTGCCGTCTTATCATAAGGTCCTCATGCTTATGCCTGCCGTCTTATCATAAGGTCCTCATGCTTATGCCTGCCGTCTTATCATAAGGTGCTCATGCTTATGCCTGCCGTCTTATCATAAGGTCCTCATGCTTATGCCTGCCGTCTTATCATAAGGTCCTCATGCTTATGCCTGCCGTCTTATCATAAGGTCCTCATGCTTATGCCTGCCGTCTTATCATAAGGTACTCATGATTATACTTGCCGTCTTATCATAAGGTACTCATGCTTATGCCTGCCGTCTTATCATAAGGTCCTCATGCTTATGCCTGCCGTCTTATCATAAGGTACTCATGCTTATGCCTGCCGTCTTATCATAAGGTACTCATGCTTATGCCTGCCGTCTTATCATAAGGTACTCATGGTTATGCCTGCAGTCTTATCATAAGGTACTCATGATTATACTTGCTGTCTTATCATAAGGTACTCATGCTTATGCCTGCCGTCTTATCATAAGGTACTCATGCTTATGCCTGCCGTCTTATCATAAGGTACTCATGCTTATGACTGGCGTCTTATCGTAAGGTAACCATGCTTATGCATGCTGTCTTATCATAAAGTATTCATGCTTATCCCTGGCGTATTATCGTAAGGTACTCATGCTTATGCCTGCTTCTTATCATAAGGTACTCATGCTTATGCCTCCTGTCTTAACAAAAGGTACTCGTGCTTATAACTGCCGTATTATCGAAAGGTACTCGTCCTTATGACTGCCGTCTTGTCGTAAGATACTCATGTTAATGACTGCCGCCTTATCATCAGGTACTCATGTTTATGCCTGCCGTCTTATCGTAAGGTACTCATGTTTATGCCTGCCGTCTTATCGTAAGACACTCATGCTTATGCCTGCTGTCTTATCGTAAGGTACTCATATTCATGCCTGCTGTCTTACCATAAAGTATTCATGCTTATGCCTGCCGTCTAATCGTAAGGTACTCATGCTTATGCTTGATGTCTTATCAAAAGTTACACATGCTTATGCCTGCTGTCTTATCATAAGGTACTCGTGTTTATGACTGCCGTCTTATCGTAAAGTACTCGTGCTTATTCCTGCTGTCTTATCCTAAGGTACTCGTGCTTATTCCTGCCGTCGTATCATAAATTACTCATGCTTATGCCTGCCGTCTTATCGTAAGGTCCTCATGCTTAAGCCTGCTGACTTTCATAAAGTACTCATGTCTATACTTGCTGTCTTATCATAAGGTATTCATGTTTATGCCTGCCGTCTTATCATAAAATGCTCATGCTTATGCGTGCCATCTTATCGTACAGTGCTAATGCTTATGCCTGCTCTCTTATCATAAAGTACTCATGCTTATGCCTGCCGTCTTATCGTCAAGTACTGATACTTATGACTGCCGTTTTATCGTAAAGTACTCATGCTTATTCCTGGCGTCTTATCATAAAGTACTC